GTATTTGTCCATCATTATCCTCTCTAAAACACTTAACTTTTCAGGGTTGCATGTCAGCCAGGCTCTGGTAACCCGGGCTAGGTCATACATCTGGGCTGACAGCTCTGGCTTGTATTTCCAGTCATGGAACCGCTGGGCTCTTGTTGCTAAGCTGTAGCCATACCTCACCAGGATTTCCCTCTTCAAGACAACGTGATCCTTTGTTTGGTCAGGAGGGAGGTTGAAGTAAGCTTGCTGTGCCGGGCCCAGGAGGAACGGTCCAACCAGATCAGCCCAGGAGTCCCTTGGCCAGCCCTCACTTTCAGCTGTGCGCTCAAAGGCTGTTAAGTAGGCCTCTATCTCATCACTCTCATTTTGGGGATGAATCGACCTGGGTTAGGCTGCACGGTTGCTCCCCTCTGGATAGGAGAGGCTGCCGTTAGGCTTTTTTTGACCTCCACATGGAGAGAAGCGCATTCTGTTTCCGCTGCTCCTGTATCATCTCCCGTTGCAGAGTCTGCTGCTCAGTACAAATGTGCACCAACTCTCTTAGTACATCCTCCATCTTAAAAATGCAACTTTTTGACTGCAACACCACCACTAGAGTCCTTATGCCCGCATTCTCCACCAGTGTAACAGGACTGGGCAGATAAAGAGGAAAGTGGTAGTGCAGCAATCACGACAGAGGCAGTGTTCAAATCCAAAAATACCTTCCATTAAACAAAGGCTAACGTAGCCGGTCCGCTAACCGACTTACCAGCTTACAAAAAACGTTTCCTTACACTGGGAGCCTCCTGCTCCCTCCATGTGCAACAACTGAGCAACTCTGTGTGCTTTGTCTCCCTTGAGGGAGTGATTAGCATCAGGTGTGACGTCTCCACACCTGCTCCCAATACAGCTTATTGGAAGAGGGTGGAGCCACCTGTTGGGAATGTAGATGCCTCCCACTACCCTGCCTCTCAGCCCCTTACACCTGAAACAAACTTTATTCTTCAATTCCTTTATGTCACTTTAAGTTGTAACCGTTTTAGTCTTACATCTTATGAATATGTATTATATGTGCATTGTTTGTTTAATGTTGAGCCCTGTAAAGGAGCATTTATATTACTTATCTTATGATAAATGGCATTGCACTGGCTGCTCATTGTTATTGGAAATACTAGTTCCAATTTGGTACTTTATTATCTAGACTGGATGTAAGTGTTTCAGTATGTATATCAATCCTGAAAGCATGGATGCTATTGAAAAGGTCATACTGGCTTTTTCAAATCAAAATAAATTATTCTCAGATGGATCGGCCAACACTGTTTGACTTCCATGGAGTCTCCATGATCAAACAATTCACTGACAGCTGGGAGGAGGTACAGAACTTCAAAGCGAGACCAGATGATATTGTTATAGTTAGTTATCCTAAATCAGGTTGGTTTCTATCAAAGCTACACTATGAATACATTTTATGTTGATGAATGCTCTGGATTGATGGGTTTTCTATGTTTAGGCCGCTGAGCAGATGTGTTGTCGATGTGTTTTAATCTCAGGAACAACATGGGTCTGTTACATCATGGACCTACTGTTTTTTGGGAAGACATGTCCAGAGCGCCTGACGTCAATCCCTCTTCATGAGAGAGTGCCGTTTCTGGAGATCAGCAGAACTTCCCCTACATCAGGTTGAATCATGTGTTAACCATCACTCAGATTTATTTATTTTGCACATTTTATCACAGCAGGTGAAATTTTCTTTTGTTTAACACAGTATAATGTACAAAGTCCTATTATAGCTCTATAGTTACAACTATATCACCTCAGATCAGTTTTGTTTGCATACATGCTGAGGAGGTGATGAAAGTGTCAATGTTTCCCATATGTTTGCTAACTTTCTGTGTCTGCTTTTGGCCCGGAGCAGAATATGTACAGAAAGGCAGAGACTTGTTAGACCAGCTCACAACTACTCCTCATCTGATTAAAACTCACCTGCCAGTCCAGTTTCTACCCAAGTCCTTCTGGGAGCAGAACAGCACGGTAAGAGCTTTACACAAACAGTATGTAGCCTGCAGAACATATGAGTTACCAAGCACATTTAAATATGATCATGATAGATTATAATTTAAAAAACATTTATTTCTGTAGATAGTCTATGTGGCTCGCAATGCAAAGGACACTGCTGTTTCGTATTACCATTTTTGCCGCATGAATTATTGCATGCCAGAACCAGCTGATTGGAGCACATTTCTACAGAATTTCGAGGAGGGAAAGGGTGAGTTTAAACTAGCTTTAGTGTTAAGGAGGCTTAATATCATGTCATTTCTCATGCAGCTTGTTGAGTGGCCGTCCACCAATCCATCAATGTTTATCAATCTTAATGAGCAAGTGGTACCTTATAGCCTCTGCAACCAGTGTGTGACAGCAAACTTGTGTGAAAAATGGTGGTCACTAAGACTAGAACAAATACTAAATGCAGTCCATTTACCATTTGTTATTATGTGGCTCTAGTGTCGTACGGATCCTGGTATGACCATGTGAGCGGCTGGTGGGAGAAGAAACAGAGTTATTCGAAACTTCACTACATGTTCTACGAAGATCTGTCTGAGGTGAGCTGCAGTGGGTTGTATTTGGGACATTTTCAACAGAACTGTTCATCTTTAAAATGTTCTTGAACAAGTAAGACAATGTATTGTGAATACATACATGTCGTGAAATTGTCGCAGTTTTAAACACGTAGCGTGAATTTAAACCAAACTGCTTGGTTGGTTTAAGGAAAAGATCATGGTGTGGGTTAAAAAGTTTTCTGTTATGCAATATGCATCGAGATGTTTTGGAAAATGATAGCAGTTTTTAGACTGGTTGTTGGTCAAAAAGATTATTACAATGCATATTTAATGTGTCAAGGCTGATATTCTTTCATTTTCTGCAGGACACGGGACGAGAGATGGACCAACTCTGTTCCTTCCTTGGGTTATCTCTTTCAGCTGAGGATAAGGAAAATGTCCTTACCAGAGTGAAATTTGACAATATGAAAACGAACAAGATGTCCAACTTTTCCACAATCCACCATATGGATCAAACCGTTTCTCCTTTCATGAGAAAAAACGATTCTGTTTCTCTAGGGAAAGTTGGTGACTGGAAGAACCTCTTCACTGTGTCCCAGAATGAAAAGTTTGATGAGGACTACAAGCAGAAACTGAAGAATCCTACACTGCATTTTCATTAAGATGCAGAGGCAGCAAGTGTGGCTGGGGATATGGAAGGCTAACATTTGATAAATTGTTCTGCTTGTTTTAAGCACCACAGAAGACGTTTTTATGTTAACAACAGCAGTTTTATGCACCTATTTGCTGAACATATAATATTGTAGAATTGGCCTGTTTATAAGGCTACTTCTAGGGGGAATTGGTGTGCAATGGATAAGGGACCAAACATGTAGAGACAGCTAAGCCTTCATACCCACCTTGTTTAGAGACAGGCCTGGCTGTTTAAAATGTCCTGAACTGTGATTATTTTCCATTTTACTGCATTTTATAAACAAGGGTATTGTTGAATATGTTGTGTGAGAAATGTTTTCTTATAATTGTTACTGATTACAGCAAAAAGAGGAGAAAGCCTGATTAATGTTGGACATTAACGTGTGCAGTATGTATTTGATCCATTTAGAACATTTGTGAATCCTCTCATTGTTACCATTATGCAATATCTGAAGTTCATACAAAATAAACAGCAATAACAACATGTTTACTCGTTTTTATTTGAATGCAGACATGAAATGCAGCAAGAAATACAAGAACAAGAGTTCAATTAGCAAAGTAAACATATGAATCTAACACTTTACTTCTGCACTGTGACCACAGACTGGAGGGGGCACATTGAATGTATTTTCTATGGCACGTACTGCTTTGGTGAGGAAACAACACTGCTGGAGGTACCGCCCTGTTCATAGAGTAAAAGCGGTAACAGCGAGGACTGATACTACTGATCTTATGGGTTCATTGGAATGTAGACAAAAAACACAAGGCCATTGTAATGTAAATACTAAACAAGTCAAGTATCACTGGGAGGTACTGAAAGTCGCCCTGAGGTAACCGGAAAAACAAGTTATGGAATAGGATTCATCAGAAACAGAGGCATGATTTAAGTTTTATTCTAAAATGACACTTATCCACTTTGGAAAAATGTCACTTCTTGAAATGTTTCAATATTCATGACAGTAACCCAAGAAAACATTCACATAATGATTTTGTGAGGCTCATTTTTAAAACAAAATACGTCATATCTCATGTTGGAACAAAACTTTTCAAATACAAGACTGAGGATGAAACCAAGGGGCTATATTAAAGATCACCAAACAGGTTTGAGGTAAATCATTAAATATGGTTCCATTTGAAGTGCTCTCTGTTTTTCCTTTTTTCTGTAACGTTGTCGTAATTCAACAGAAATAGAAGAATTAAAAATCCTGCAGATCTCGGCCATCCGTTATTCATTTAGCAAGACCAGCGTCAATATAATCTGAGCAAAACTCAGAAAGTCATGAACACGACCTCTGAAGGTAAGTATTAACTGAACAGGTCGAAATCTGATGTTGAAATAGCAATAGCATAACTGTCTGCACAGCTTGGACACATAAGCAATACCACTTTAGATTGTCTTTCACAGTAGCAACTACAACTATGTTTCAAGTACACCTTTATTCATGACATCAAAAATAACAATATTTACATTGTTGCTTATACATGATATATTTGAAAGATATCTTTTCTCGAGTAGTAAAATACTTTAGTCTAGTGCTCAGGCTTACAGTTAAGTGCTCTGTTATTGAGTCAGGTCTATTATACGAGATCTGAGATTCATGCCAAGCCAGACTCATGTGGTGCAGCCCTGCAAAGCTGTGTGGCGTTTAGGAGCAGTGTGTAGGGTGCCGTGGCATATAGCAAACCAAAGGAATACCCCTCTGCTCACTGTTACTTTTCAAGTGTGTATAAGCACCTATAATGGTCTTTGGGTAACATAGAAAAGCTAAATCCTTCTCTATAGCCTGTGTTTGTTTGTTTTTGGCAGAAACATAGCTCTGCAACATGGCGGACTCCACGGAAGAGGATCCACTCCTTTTGTAGGTATGAAAGGCTCATTATATGTTTGCCAATAGATCCCCCATAACTCCTACACACTGCTTCTTTAACATATCAACCAGTCTGAATAATTTAATTTAATTGGTAGGATTGTGATTATGTTTAATATTTTTCTTCAAATCCCGTAAAAATGCAGTCAGAGGCTTTAATTGTAAATAATTACTGTTGGCAAAAGCTTGGTCCTACAGCAA